CGACGACGACGACGCGCCCNCCCCCCCCCCCCCCCCCCCCCCCCCCTTCGTCTCCATAATCCCATAATATGGGGAGCGCCAGCCGCAAGACGAAAAAGCGGCAATTCTTTTCTATTCCATGTTTCCCGCCCGTTTCTGTCTGCATTGACCAGCACGGAGACTCGACTGTCCGCCTGGCGCAACCCTTTTATTTGGGCAGGGCCTCTTTCCAAGCGTTGCATGCCAGCTTTGCCGTGTGGGCTAACGTAGCCCCAGCCCACACGCAGCAGCGCAGCTTCTCGTCCGCTACCGCACGCGAGGTATTTTTCATTCACTGTCACGTACTGTGAACCAATATGGCGACGACGCCACCCTCTCTGCGTAGAAAAGGAACAGCAGATAGAAGGCGTTCTGGTCTGGGTGTAAGTTTCGCCTGTGCGGGACGGCCTGGCTGTGACCAATCCAACCACACCCAGTTCCCAGACATCTCCCTCCCCACATCCCTCATGCTCACTGGTCCCCTTTTTTCTTCCTTGGCGTTAACCCCCAGGGCAGTATAAATGGATCTTCACTTTCTTCCCTTTGCGTTACATTGAAAAAGGGATCCCAATCGAGAGGGATAGCGAGCAACAGAGGAGAAACACGCCGACGGCCTAGCCAGGCTCGTCTGCGGCGTCGAATGTATCGATCATCCAGAAACCCGAAAATGGCGTCACCCCCAGTCAGGTCCGTCTCCGCTCCTCTCCCCGCTAAAGGCTCAAGTTGGGGAGGGGGGTTATTGCTACGCCCCGTCTGTAGTGTGAGTGAGAGCGGCGTCGCACTCCAGCCCATGATTCATGTTCTTTGTGGCTTCTCCCATGGAAGCTATTTTATTTTATTTTATCATTATTATTGTGACTCTTTCTTAGCCCAAACAACACGAGACCGGCCCCCAGCAGTAATTCCGATGACGGGAGCGAGAGGGCGGAGGAAAGTCGAGCCTGTTCTGCACCTGCGCCCCACCACCGTCGACCGCTGGTACCACGTTGATGGTGATGGATCATGGATGATATCGGAGGCATCAGCGGAAACACACCTGGACGAAGTGTGATGGCCAGGTCCCCCGGCGATAGCAATACGAGAAAGAACGAAGAAGCAAATACAAAACAAGCAAAGGAACAAATGGCGTGCCTAATTTTGCCCGTATCTAGATCTGTCCGTTGACGCCCAGCGCGCCCCCTGAGAGCGCAGTCTGCGGACATCTGACAGACTATGAACCTCGCTCGCGCCGGTGGCTGTCTCACGCTGGGCCCCAACAGACGTTGAACAGGGAGGCCAGACGAGCTCGCCACCCCCAAGACAATTTAATTGATACACCAAAAGGAAGCATGTTATTTACAAAGCGGTTTCCCGGCGAAATATCCATTTTAGAAATTTACAAAATATCAAGTACCAAAGAAATAAGCAATAGTTTTAAATAGCATTTTTATTTAACTTTTTAGAATTTTCCCGAAGTTTACACATTTGATTGTTTATTGCTTGCCGGAAGCTGTTAAGTCGATTTGGGGAAAAGTTGCCCACTTTTCCGCCCTTTTGGTGTATCAATTAAATTGTCTTGGGGTGCTCGCGTTGCTTTGCTTGTCAACAGCCTTCTCGTCGGTCGATGTGATGGGACTTGGTCGAACCACACCCCCTGGCCTGTCTCCCCCGACCGGTCATCGTCCATTGCCCGCCCTCTCACCCCTGCACCCCAGGTCGGCACAGCCGACTTCCTTTTTTGGGGAGGGGGGTCTCTTTTTTGCGCCGACTGCCTGCAATTTGCAACCAGAGCAAAGAACAAACAACCCCGGCTGTGGGACGGCGCACACCGCCTTCTGTGTCCCAGACTCGTCTGGCCTGCCTATATGCAGTTCCAGCTAACGGGAAGAAGCAAATGCCCTCCAAAAGGGAAGGCGGCAAGGGAGAGATAGCACCACGACGCACACACACACACAGCCGACCCGGATTGGCCAAGTTTGGCGCATCTGATGTGTCACGTCACCCGTGCCTCCTCCCATGGCCAGGCTGGCCGCTTCCGGTCGCGGGTTTCCATGTAATGGCATGATATACATGGTACATACCGTACCGTAGCTACAGGAAATACACACACAGGCAGGCAAACCAGAAGGGCTCCGGGAACGCGGGTTGTTGTCTGACCTGGATGAGGGTGAGTTCGAGATGCTCTCTCTCTTTTGGCCCTGTCTTTTCCCCCCTCCAACGAAAACACGAGGTAGGATCGGGATATCCGGGCGTTCCAAGACTTGCGTGGCCTGTCTCGGCTTGGAGAGAGGAGAGTGTAAGGAGAGGGGCGGAGGCGGCGGCGGCGACGGGCAGCAGTCGGGGAAAGACACAAACACACGAGCGCCCACACCCCCCGGCAAGGGCCATTGATGCTGCCCGGTTCTCCCTGCCTGCCCAGTCAATCTTACGAGGTTTGTATTCCATGGCAACCTGGCCCGATAGTAGACAATGTCTCGACCTTTTCCTAGGAGGAGAGCAAACGCCGGGTTGCATCCTTGTCTAGCCCGCGAGTGCGAGTGAAATGGAGAGGGTGGTGCAAGTGACATGATAAAAGGACGAAAATAAGATAAAATGAGAAGGGAAAAAAAACCCCCCCAAAAAATCAAGTTGCCTACTAGGTAGTCGCCACCAAAAAACCCAAAGCGGAACTACTCTCCATGTCTCTGCCATGCCACGCGCCCGCAGCTGAAAAAAAAAAAAAAAAAAAAAAGCGAACAGGGCACTCCGAGACCCTGAATCCTGGCGCCGCCGAGATAGACCGCGGCTGCAGGCGCGAGGTGGCATCTCATCCGGCCCCGAAAAGTGGCCTTTGAGCATACGAAGCAGGCACACAGCGGAGAGGAAGGAACACGGCGAGGTCATGCATCGCTTCACAATACAGAAAACATTGGATTGGGAGGAGTCACCTGGCTCAGGAGATCGCCGTCAGCCAAATTCGGACTGTGCCCACTCGCGCCACCAGCATGGGAAGTTCTTGCTTGCGCGTGCGCTGCGTCTGTGACTTTCTTTTTCATATTCTTCTCCGGGTGGCTGCGTTGCAGAGTCTGATTGGCCACGGAATGCTTGCCCTCTTGCTCGCCTAGATCGGACGGGGCGGCTTGCTGGAGCCAGCCGTCCATCCGCGTAAAAAGACTCCACACTCTCCGTCCGTCTCGTACGCACTTATCAAAGTAGAGTGGCACCGGGCGTGCAGAGTAACACGCGCGCACAAGCATCACAGGGAGGCGCCGGCCAGGCATCCTGTGGACAAGGGATAAAAGCCAGGTCAGGCCGCACCGCCTGCCTGCCTTCCCACCAACACAAGTGGGATGGGATACGGATCCGAGCATGGAACGGGGCCCCGGTCAGCGGGTGCGTGTGGTGCGTCGTCGGTACCTACCAAGCAGGTGGTGGTTGTGTGGCGTGGACGACGCTGAGGTGTGCGGTTGGTTGGGTGGTTGGCTGGCTGTGGGCGAGTGTCTGACGGGCGGCTCTATTGGATCCCTTGGGTTTCGTCAGCATGTGGGCGGCGGGAATTTTTTTCCGATTTTTTTTTTGGGTTCTCTTTCCGTGCAGTCTCCTGCGGTCATGCACACACTCAGCGGCGACTCGAAGCCAAGCCGCCAGGCGCACCACTAGACCCATTGGCCGACAAGTCTCGATTTCGGGTGGCTGTTCTGCAGCCCTTGCGGAGGATGGGCATGCGGCTTGTCCACCAAGAAGGGTAAAAGGGAGAGAGGGAGGGGGAGGTTTTGTCGCCGGCGTCGCTCTATGCATTTTGCTAGCCGACAAAATGGTTAGTTAACAGTGCATGTTGAGACAGCAGTAATAACCTTTGAGGCCCAGTCCCGCCTTTTCGTGTTCTCGTCGCCTGCGGATAATCATACTTGTCCAGCCGTGCTGTGCGCAAGTGCAAATTAGAACAAAAAAGGCAGATTAAAGTGACCAGCTCAGAAACATGGGCTCACATGCCGTTCAATGTCGTCCGCACAGTGCCGTGTTCAGGCCACTCATGGAGGACAAAAAAAAAACACTCTCTACCTGCAAGTAGCCTAGTCAGCCTCTCTTGGTTTTTGCCATTCGGAGGCAGGTTAATCTGGACAGCCGGACGGGAGGCCGAAACGAAGGTCACTGGCGCCGAATACCGCCGGCCGCAAACAAATATAGCTGGTGACGGCCAGAGTGGCATTGCATCCAGCGGCATGCACATGTCGCGCGCGTCCAAAAGTGGCAGCATCATCATCCCAACGACCACCACCACGCTCTCTGGCGGTTTTGCCGCGGGGTCCAGACTGGCCTTGAACCGGACCTTGGTGGGGCACCAAGGCCCCTCCAGCGACGCAGACTTGTGCTGCCGTCGTACCGTCGTCAAATGGACGATGGATGGATGAATGGTGGCTGGCCGGGGCACAGTGCTGAGGACGACGGCGGCGACAGGATCGAAATCTCGCGTCGGCGGTGGGTGCAATTGACCTTTTCCGTCGCCCGTCGGTCCTCGCTAAAAGCAAGCAAGCAGAAAATGTAATATCCAGCATTGTCATTTCCCACCCACACGCCCCTCCCCGCCTTCCCAATCCTGTCTGTGTTCGCGTGTGTGTGCCGTTTTTTCCCCATCGCACCCACCCCCCGAATCGGCCGCCTTTTCTTGTCAGCCCCCAACTGGAAAGGAAGGGGTGGCCTTGGTAGTCCGGGCAGTCCAGTGTGTCGCTTCCTCGTCTGGCGCCCTCCCTTTCCGGCATCGCTCGCCACCAGCCCAGGCCGGCCACGCAGCGCCCTCTGCCTAAGTGCCCATTGCACTTTCGGGCTTTTCCCTGCCATTGCTGCATCTGACTCTGTTTGCTGCTTCCTCATCTCAAATCAAAATAGATCGTCACCACCTGGCCTTGGACCCCCGCCGCCACGACACAGCCCTTCGGTATCGAGACCCGGGCAAGGAGGGAAGCCCCCAGCCGAGGCACCAGCTGGCCTGTTTAGAGCAGCCGGGCCTGGTCATGGGCAACAACAGCGCGGATGCCTGCTCCTTCACTTGAGTGGTGATACGTATCTCGATCGTCCTGTGGGAGCAGCGGGAGGCCATCCGTTGGCTTTGGAGAAGGCCGTGGTTTCCATTTGGTTTCCATTTCGTTGCACCCCAGCCCAGCTGAAGACGGCGCAAACGGCCGGCGTCGACCTTTGATGTTGTGCAAGCCACCACCCCCTAAAAACAACCCCGTTTTGTTTTCCAAGGTTTCGAGCAGGCGCCAGAGTGCCTTGCCGATCGGACCACAGGCAGGCTACACTCCACGGCAAAGAATGATCAAGTGCACCCACGCACCCTTTGCTCCATACCTCACATACGCTCACACCCACACAGGCATGCAGACGCATCATGTCACAGTGCGGCGGGAGAAAGAGCGATGGAAAGTCGGAGGCCACTATCGCCTCGGCGCCCGCCTTTCCCTTGTCTCTTTTGAATGCATGCTCAGCTCGCCGTCGCGCGTGTGGACGGACTGTGAATTGGGTCCGGCCCCTGGTCTATCCCTACTTGCAGCCTCCTGCGGCCCACGTCGACCCGATGTCTGTTCAGACCCTGTATTGAGTCGATAGGCAGTCCAGCCGCTCCGTCTATCGGTTGGCCGACTGACGACAGGCCCCTCCCTCCTCCCTCCCACCTCGGGCGTATGAGACAACCTCGGATCCCAGCGCCCGATTTCCACCTACGCCGCCTGGCACAGCTCCCCGCCACAGCACCCTTCTAATCCCGTCGAGGAGGCTACTGGTGCAGATCGCGAGCAAGCCAGGCGGACTGGAGCCATGGAGTATTGCCGTCTCGTAACCTGACCACCCAGTTCAATAAGGGGAAAACAATCCTCCATCATACCCCGCATTAGCAGCGTTCCGGGCAAGGACTGAGGGGACGGGCTGCTGACATCAGCAACACGGTTTCATGCGGCCTTCTGAGCGGTCGTTTCCATCTTAGACCGCGCCCAACCTATGACGCCGCCGCCTCTTCCCTCTCATTGTTACTTGCTGCTTGCATACTGTCAGCCGAAGAGCGGCACCGAGCTAGTGCTCTTTAATTATTCGAAAGGAAAAGCGACCATGACTGACTCAAAGGAACCCTTCTCACCTCGCCGTCGCCGGCCTCCAAGTTGACTCTAGCAGCAGGCACGATCACGCTTGGCATACTTGATCCCCTCCTCTGATTCGCCGGGGAACCCGCTCCTTCGGTTGCAAGACCCCTGTTCTGCTCGCTGACGCCGACCTACCCCGTGTGGGCGCCAGACCGCGGTTTACCCATACAATGCAGGTCTACGGCGAACGGCAAGGTTCAGCAAAAAAAAAAACGAAAGCCTTCCATGCGAGTCTAGGCTGCTAGTGACCTTACTTGCCGCATTGGACCAGTCGCTGGGGAACGATGGGCCGGAGGGGCCAGGTAGCAAGGCAGCAAGCACGCTGCGTTGTGCGCAAACGACGTAGTTCAGCGCGCACTGGGGAAGCTTACCAGCAATATCCGCATGATGTGCAAGATGTTGATGAGCACACTTCCATAGCTATCGTCAAGGCGGGAGTTCGACTCTGCTGCGCATCGAGAACCATGAAGTAATGAAGTGGTATCAAGGTTGAGAGCGGCATACCGGCAAGGCTTCTCTAATATATTGGTCGATCATCCATGTTGCACGAGATCAAGGGCCTGCGAGGGTGGCGGACTGTTTGCTTTGATCGTGTTATTCGGGTCTGTTGTTTCGTGCTATTGGCTTGGGAGAGATCTTTGGAAGCTCAGTTTGAGTTGCCACAACAACTGGGAGAGCTCTAGCAATCCTGTGAGGAGCCATTGATGTTGTTCTCGGAGAATTCGTTTTAATCCAGCCACACGACCAAACGCCAACATGGCTAAATTGAACCGATTGAGTTGTTTCGGGCCTTGAGACGGAAATATCGTGGAGAAGTCGAGGAAGAAGGGTTATTCGGCAGTCGTAGCTGATTTAATTGGTCCTGCCACAAAGTCGATCTAGCTTTGGCGCAGTTGGCTTCTCCCCTGCCTTGTGGAGCTTCTCAAATTCTTGGTGTGGCTGACGAGACTGCGCAAGGTGGCCCCGAGCACTGCTTCCTTGTATTGAACAACCATTTCTCTCGGTATTAGCTGTAGAAATCGCCTTGCTGGCCGCAAGCCAATCTACAAAGCCTCATCGGTGGCTCCGGATGCTGCCCAGCCAAGGACGCCGTGCGCGCCACTCTGTAGATCAGCAAGGGGGATCGAGAGGGAGCGGCAGCACAGCCACAGCAGCGGCGAATGTCCACCCCGTGAAAACCAGCCTCAATCCCACCACTCGTGTGCTTGCCTCTTTGGCGCTAGTAAATGCGCGCGCTGACTGTCGTTAGCACCCCAGCACAAATATCGCGCCGGGTTGCTAGTTTGCAAGCCCTCCCCAGTTGCTGGTTGGAAAAGATGTTGAAAAGAAAGTCGCATAACAAATCGCGAAAGGGGTGTCAGAATTGCAAGCGGCGGCACGTCAAGGTACGTGAATAATGGATCGGTGGGGGGGGCTTCTCTTCTGCGTGGCGTGGCGTTGGCAACCTGACTGGCTGGGCTGATGATGTGATGGGCGCAAGAGGACATACCCACCTACCCCGTGCCATCGCGATCCCCCTCTGCGTAAAGGATTGAATGGGGCGTACGGTCGAGTAAACGCGCTAACGGAACAATAAATCCCACAAAAAAGTGCGACGAGCAAGGGCCGCCGTGTGCGAACTGTGTGGTGCGGGAGACCTCAAGCACCTGCATCTATACCCAATCGTCCCAGAGCTCCCTGTCCGCCGTCAGCTCGCGGGGGCAGGATGCGGCGGCATCGGGCCGGAGGGGCGGGGGCGACCGCGACCAGGCCGTGGCCGCGGGCTCTACCTCACCTTCCGAGAGCAGGTCCCCGGCCCCCGAGCCGGCGGCAGCGACCGAGCAGCAAGAGCTGGCAACCGCGCCGGCGCGGTCTGCACCGTCAGAGGGCGAGTCCAGCAGGCTGCTGGACCTGGAGCTGATGCACCGCTGGTCGACGGTGACGTACAAGTCGCTCATCTCGGTGCCGGCCGACGAGAGCTACCTGCAGGTCGGAATCCCCATCGAGGCCCTCAAGGCCGGCTACCTCCTCAACGCGCTGCTGGCCGTCACTGCGCTCGAGAAGGTCATGTCGGAGGGCTCGCCGCCGTCGTCGCCGTCCCCGGGCGAGGATGGGGAGGGGAGTGGCGGCGGCGGCGGCGGCAGCAGCAGCATGGCGGCAACGGGCAACAGCGAGCGCATCCGGGCTAGAAACAGGCGCTACATCCGCGCGGCCATCGAGTACTACGACCGCGCCATCAACGCGTTCCGCGCGGCGTTGCCGACCGTCGGGCCCGAGAACCACCACATGCTGTACTTTGCCTCGATCCTCGCCGCCATCGTGCACCTGCTGATGCCGCAATGCCTGCACGGCCTCTGGGCCGAGGACGGTGGAGGAGGCGGTGGTGGTGGTAACGGCGGCGGCGGCGGCGGCGAGGCCGTGGGCGCGCACGGCGGTGTGGGGCTGGGCCAGGACCCGGCGCCGCACAGCGCCATTGCGCACGCGCTGTCGCTGTTCGAGCTGCTCAACGGCACTGGCAGCATCGTCAGCGTCAACTGGGGCTGGCTGATTGCCAGCCCCGCGGGGCCGTCCATCGCCCAGGCCCTCTCGCACGGCCAGCCCGACGTGCACAAGCTGGATCCGGACACGACCGCCGCCATGGACCGCCTCATGGTGCTGGCCGCCGCCACGGGCCCGCCGGTTGCGGACGACGACGGCGGCGGCGATGGCGGAGGGGACGGCTCGGGGGAGGGCGCGGCGGCGGACCCGTACGGGCGCGACAGGCAGCTGATCGCGCCGGCCGAGGCGCTCGTCGCAAAGGCCGACTACGCCGTCCTGCTCGACGGCAGCGTGCAGGTGCTGCCGGCGCCGGCGAACCCGTCCGACTTGACGCCGGCGTACAAGGCGGAGCAGCGGGGCGGGCCGGCGGCGCGGCGGCGCAGCCCGGCCGAGGTGCGGCGCGACATGTACAAGAACACCGTCTTCTACCTGCGCATGGGCTTCGCCGACGCGCACAGGGGCGCCTACAAGTTCTCGGGCATCGGCTTCCCCATGCTGGGCCGCCACGAGTTCGCGGCCGCCGTGGCCCGCCGCGAGCCCCTGGCCCTGCTCCTCGTCGCCTACTGGGGCGTGCTCATGGGCCACGAGAACAATGCGGCCTGGTGGACCGGCCGCGCGGGCCGCTGGTCCATCGGCCGCGACCTCGTCGCCGAGATCTCCGAGGCCCTCGTCCTGCTCGAGATGCGCGGCCGCCTGGGCGACGGCTTCGCGGCCATGCCCGAGTGGCGCGCCAGCATCTCGTGGGCCAGGACGCAGACCGGGCTGACGGCGCTGTAGGAGACTAGAGACCAGAGAGCTGTGCTTGTTTGGTTTTTATTTTATTTTATTCATTTCATTTTGGATCTAGTATATCCATGTCCTTATTGATTCACGAATACACGAATTGATACCCATTCCAAACGAAGACCTGATCTGCGTCGTGAAAAAAAAGGCCGATGATACGAATCCCTCCCCTGGTATCTGCTACCCCTACGATCCTCGCCGGCACAGACTGCCAGAAAGACTGGCTGGGCAATGACCATTTTTCAATCTGTCCTACTCCCTCCCTTTTCGTATTCACAGCGCCCCAGCTCCAGTTGCGATTCCTTTCCCTCTTGCGCAAGATCGACATTCTGAGAGCCGAGAATCCGACGAGGGCAGATCCCTTGACCAATCAGCATCCCCCAATGGTAATGGCCCAGCCTATTTGGGCTACTCCATGTAACCTCCAAGACGAGTTATGACATCACGGCTTCCGAGTCTGCGCGATGACGGCACTGAGATTCGACCCCGATTGCTGTGTACCTATTTTCTGCGGTTTTGCGCTTGGATCACGACTCTTCCTGTCAGACCGAGGCTGTAATTGTGATTGCTTATATCCGTCATAATCAGACACGCCCAAGGATACGCCTTGCCAGTACAGCAGCAATGGAAATGCAGCAAGACGACCAATCGCGTCGAGTGCCCTCCAGTGGGAAGCTGGTCAAGAGACGGCCGGTAGGGGGCCAATCTCCACGCCGCCAACAGTCATCCAGCAGCTTCACGACAGAGTCCGTGGCACCCACAGCGTCAATGGAGCGCAAGTCGCGTTTCCGGCTGTCAAATCCTTTTTCTTTCAAGGACAGGGACAGGGATAGAGACGAGGGTAAAGAGCGGCCAGGCGCCAACATCAATCCAACTCCACAGACGGCCCACGACTCGGCCTACGGGAGTGGGAGTCTTGGGGATGGACACGACGGCAACAACGACAATGGCCGCTCCGTAACCGAAACAAACAGCAGCGGCGCCCCGAGCACTACCCTGACGAGCCTCGAGTCCCAGCGCTGGAACTCGCAGCCTGGGAGCAATGCCAACAACCACAGCAGTAGCAGCCAGAACAATGACTACCTGCAGCCTCCGCCACAAACCCTCGTCACGCCGCCCACGCCTCCCGCGCAGCCCGTGACCCAGCCCTCAACGGGGGCCGAAGGCGGCGGGCCCGTGTCGCAGCAGACGTACCACGACGCGCGCACGGGCAACACGGTGACGACCACGACAACGACCACGACGACGACCACCACCACCACCGGCCCTAGCGGGTCCACCACGGTCCAGACCCCCACCCCGCGCGCGGCCGCGGCCGCCACCGGCCCCGAGGTTACAGCGCACGTCACCAGCACCACGGGGCCGGACCCTCCCGACCCCGCGCCGCCGGCCCCCACCTCCTCCTCCTCCTCGCAGCGGCAGGGGTCACCGCCGGTGCCGCAGAGGAACCAGATCCGGAACAGGGTGGAGCTGTCGGCGTCGCCGGGCCACGAGCTGCAGAACCCGATGGCGGTGTCGCCCGTGTCGCCGACGGCATCGCCACCCGCGCTCGGCGGCGGCGCGCGGCAGGTGGCAGATCCCTCGGAGGGCCAGGTCGACCCCCTCAGCCTGCCGCAAAAGTCCACGATCGCGAACCTGAAGAGCGCCGCGAGCGGCATCCACGTAAGTCCACTCCAGCCTAGCCTTGAACGCAGCTGGCTCCTCGGCGGCTGTGGTCCCCCACAGTCTGGTTCCAACGGGTTGTGAACTGAAAATCTTACTTTTTTTTCTTGTCTTGCAAAAACAGGGCGCGGCCGAAACCCTGCGCGGGACGCTTAACGACTCGGTCGACAAGCACTTTGGCGGCGGCGCCAAGGCCAGCCAGAACCAGGCCGTCATCGAAGCCGGCCGGGCCGAGATGGAGGCGGCGAAGCGGCGGTCGCTGCAGCAGAGGCAGCAGCTGTACCAGACGCAACAGCAGATGCCGGCCACGCCGCCACCGGGATCGCAGCAGCAGCAGCAGCAGCCACGGTCTCGGGGGCCCGTCGAGCCGGACGCGAACGAGGACTATTATCATCCTGGAATGGCGGCGGCGACAGCAGCCCAGAGCGGGGGAGGAGGGGCCGGTCGGCGCAATTCGAGCGAGTTGGCGGCGGGCAGCGATAGCCCCAGCAGCCTCAGCGGCAGCAGCTACACCGCGAGCGTCAACGGCACCACCGTCAGCGGCGGCGGCGGCACTTTTGCGGAAGGTAGCAGCAGTGGTGCTGGCCATCATGCCCCCGCCGCTCCGGGGCCGGCGCAGCAGTCGCACGGCAGCAAGAGCAAGGCTTTGGGGAACTTTGTCAGAATGATGAGCCAGGGGCCGATGAATCGTCAGAGGCGAGAGGGGAACCTGAGCGTTGTGGACGAGTAATGAGACACAGGAAACAGGGACGGTCAGGAAGAGGAATCGTGTGACTTTGGTTAGGGCGAAAGGCGTTCGTTATAGGGGGGCTTCCACTGGGTGGCGTTTATACGTTCTATGTCTTTTCGTAAAGCACGTGTCATCTGGCAATCGGCGTCGTGGGTGATTCTGCAGATGTAGTGCCTACATGATTACAAGACCCGAGTCACCGTGTCCGCCCGCCTCTGCCTACCTGGACACAGCACCCCCTCCCACGTGCACGCCCGCTCACTGCTGCACCATGCGGTCGCAGGTCGAGATGGGCGGGACGGAGACGACCTCGGTGGCGTTCATGGCGCCGCCGCGGAACGAGTAGGTAAAGGTCCAGCCGGAGCCGGCGCCGCCGTGCTCGCCCCTGTTGTTGACGACCACGATGCCGCTCGCCACCGCCGGGTACTTGCGCACCATGCGGCAGACAGCGTCGGCAGCCGCCTGCTTGGGCGTCATGCCCTGCCGCAGGTTCTCGAGCGCCTGGTAGCAGGGCAGGAACCGCATCATGATGTCCCCGTCGCCGGTCGCGCCGCAGCCGCCGACATCTGTGTCTGTGCGCGCGGTCCATCTGTGTCAGGGCCTTTGAGGAAGAAGGAGGGATAGGGGGGGGAGGAGGAGTTTGGGCAGTTCTGAACACACCGACATACGACCCGCTGCCGACGATGGGGCCGTCGCCGACCCGCCCGGGGACCTTGAAGCTGGCCCCGTTGGTCGACGTGGCCGCCGCCATGGCCCCGCCGGCGTCGATGGCGATCATGGAGATGGTGTCGTGCGAGGCCTGCGCCGCGGCGGCCGCGGGCGGCGGGGCCGCACCCCCCAGCGGCGCGTAGGGCCCACACGACGAGCGCGGGTCCGGCTCGACGTTGACGCGGTAGTTTGGCTGACATGCGGCCTCGCGCCACGCGGCGCAGCGGGCGCGCGACGCATCCGTGGCCAACCCTTCCTCGCGGAACCCATTCTGGACCGCAAAGGCGGTGGCCAGGTCGCCCGCGAGCAGGGAGTGCGAGGTGCGGTCGAGGACGGCGCGCGCGACCGAGACGGCGTCGCGCACGCGGCGGAGGCCCGCGACCGCGCCCGACTTCATGGTGGCGCCGTCCATGATCATGGCGTCCAGCGTCGTCTCGCAGGACTCGTCGGGCGAGCCGCCGAAGCCGACGGAGCCGTCGCACTGGCGCGCCTCGCACGCGCCGCAGCCGGCCTGCACCGCGTCGAGGGCCGCCGTCGCCGACGCGGGGGACCTGGCGATGAGGTCGTAGGCCGCGTCTGTCGCCGCGGTGAAGGGCCCGCCCCAGGTGTTGATTACCATGGGTAGGCCCGGCGAGGGCGCGGCGCGGGCGCAGGCCGCGAGGGCCAGGACGGGCGCGAGGAGCTGGCGGTGCATTTTGGTTGGTGGCTTCGCTTGGGGCTGATGCAAGACACGGGTTTGACGGTGTGGGGATTTGGAAGTGTGCCACACTCAGATCCTGCGCTAAAAGTCAATTCCCTAGTGATGATTTCTCAATTGGATTTCATCGAGTTTCGGTCCAACACTGGAAGTTCTCTCTGCCGGACATGACATGGCGATAACGACAAATATTCTCTGCAGGCGGCAACCTGCCCGACGGCATTATCTCCTACCTGGCCATCCTCGATTCGGAAGGTCGTCCATGTTGATTTACCCAGCAACAACATTGGCATGTCGAGATATGCAATCCCCGCGTCTACTTCAACCCTGTCCCACCCCCAGGCCGACGTCACAGCGGGGAGTTTGGCAAAGTGCGGGGATCAATTCCATGCTTTGTTATAGAAGGCTCTAATTGTCCTGTATAATTCCCTGCCTATTTTGGTGTCGGTGCCTAGCCAAGCCAGGGGGCGGTGCAGCTGCTAGCCTCTCCTGTCGTATTTTGGCGCGCTCCCGTCTCCATCCTCAGGGCGCGGTCGTCGCACAGCATGGGCCAACCTCGGACTCTGTCCATCTCTCCTCATCCAAAGATGTCCCATGTGCTGACATGGCAGCATCGCCAACCATGAATACGGTGAGAATGTCAGACTGCGACTGCGGCACAGCAGGGGGAGCCGTCTCAGCATAGGTAGCCGGCCGGATAGTGAGGTCATGTTCCGCGCATGGAAATGAATGAAAATGCCTCGATCCCTCGACCTCTCGACCTTTGAAAGAAGACGATTTCCAGCAAGGACGCTATTTGCCGTTGGATCCCATAACGCTCTCTCTTGAAATCGCATAACCACCTACATCACTGCTCTGTATAGCATTCCGAGATCTCCTGAGCCGATTGTTTGTACCTTTACGCGCACTCTTCGACTCGACATCATGCCCGCCATCCTCCTCAGCCGCGACACGCGAACCACTGTCACTGCTCTGAGCGCCGTGGCCATCGTTGTCTACATCCTGATACCAATCGTGATCCTCAGCCTGATCGTCGCAACTGTCTGGCTCGTATTTCGCAACAAGAAACGCCGCAAGGCCCAGGCCCTGGCACAGGCAGAGGGCAGCAACGTCCACCTCTACTCTAACGGCTACCAAAACACCCAAAACGTCCAAAACACCGGCTACTACCCCCACGGACAGCAATTAGGCGGTGCCAACGGTGGCGGTGGATGGGTCGTCAACAGCACTCCCGCCTACGGCGGCAACAACACCGGGGGTGGCTGGGCTCCAAACGGCAGCAGTGGCCCTGCCGCTCCCGTCTTCCGCGCCATGCCACCCCCGGCGGATGATACCGAGCACGGCGCTTCTCATGCTGGCGACGCGAACAGCAACAGCGCCGTAGGCCCAGCCGAGGGCATCGCTCCTCCTCAAGCCGTTTACAGCCATACGTCAAACTCAACCTCCACTTCCACAGCCAACCTCACCGGAAACACCCAGCCGCCCCCCGCTAGGTAGCACCCAACACGAAACTGTACATTCAGACGCCGTTTTACAAAGCATTCCATATTCTTTTAGCGATTCTGCCATGTTTATCTGCCCTTCTCGGCTATATCATATTTCCCACAGCCTTTGTCTTGTATCTACGAGTCGCATTTTTGTATTGATCTACCTGGCTTTTGCGGCTTAATTGGGCGTCTTGGGGTGTGGATTAGAGGTTTACCTGTTCAGGAGGCTGGCGCAACTTTTCAAGCATAAAAAATAAGAAGCCCGGGACATCTCGAACGAAGCTTCTCCTATTCTGTCCGCACGAGTTGTTCCGTTAACCACAAAAAATCAGTTTCTGCTTACTGCCGTGGCCGAACCATCCTTCCGGCCTTCCTCCTCGGCCGCCTCTGTATTGATCCTCCTCCACCTGTCTTTCCGCAGCTCGTGGCCGGCCATGAACAGCCGCGCCCACTCCGGGTCGAACCTCGGCAGCTTCCTCCCGCAGCCGTCGAGCCCCTCGCCCGCGAGCCCCCTCAGCTCCTCAAAGTACTCCTCGAATTCGGGGTAGATGAGCGTGAACCGGGCGCCGTCCCCCCTGGCCGCGACCCTCTCGTCCTCCCAGCGCTCCATCTCCTCGGCGGCGGGGAGCGGCCGCGCGGTCCGCCCGGCCAGCAGGCGGGCCGCCAGGACGGCCTGCCACTCGAAGATCTTGAACGTCAGGCCCGCGCCCACGGCGCCGACGAACAGCAGCGTCGGGTCGCGCCGGAAGACGGCGTGCTGGTACGGGCCCGGCACGCGGTTGTTGCGCGCGGGTGCGCAGGGCAGGAACAGCAGCGTCCAGGTGTGGCCCGTGCCCATGATGATGTGGTCGGCGTCCCTGATCACGCCCCCGTCGGCCAGGTGCACGGCCGCGGCGGACGGGTCGACGCGCGCGATGGAGGACCGCTTGGTGATTCGCGGGTGGTCAAAGGTCCTGTCGCCGAAGTAGGCGTTGGCCGTGTGGCCCAGCACGACGGCGTGCACGGGGGGTTTCGCGACCTTGACCAGGTCGAAGGCGATGTCTGCGGCCGAGACGGAGGCGCCCACGACAACGACAGTCTTATCATCACAAAACGGCAGTCGGTGGGAGCTTGTTAGTATGGACCTAACGACAAGCTACTGCCTAGTACTAGTAGCGCGGCAAACGGTGACTTTTTGCTGTTTCTCACTTTGCCCCTGAAACTGATCCCTACCCCTGAAATACTTGCTGTGCAGCACACTACCCGGCCTCGCGCGCTGGAACTCATCCAACCCCTCGATCGCCGGCACGTACGGCACGTTGTAGTGCCCACTGGCGACCACGACGGCGTCGAACCGCTCCGCCCACCAGTAGTCGCGCCCCTCGCCCTGCTCCCTCCGCAGCGTCACCTCCCACTCCTCGCCGGCCTTTTCGACCAGCTCGACGGTGGTGCCGTAGGATACCGAGACGCCGTCCCCGGCGTCCCCGGCAGCCCGGGCGACGACGTCGGAGACGTAGCGCCGCAGCACCTCCCAGTGGCGGAACGGCGTCCCGGGCCCGTACAGCTCCGCCGACGCCGCGGTCGCGTCGGCGGGGATGGGCTCGGCCGAGAACCGCATGGACCGGTGGTCCACGTTGGTCTCGAGGTACGGGTAGATGGAGGACTCGGCGAAGCGCGGCTGCGGGGCTGTCACGGGCGTTAGGCCCCGTGAGGCAGATAGATTAGATAGAGAGGAGCCCCGCACCGTTAGTGGGCCCAAAGGCCCACTCCGCCCGATAAGGGCGATAAGGGTGGGGCCGCCCGCACGAGATATCTCGTGCGCCCGCGGCCGCCCCGGAGGGCCTTCCTTTAGCTCTTCATGACTTTACCTACCTACCACTTGTATTACCCTTTTTCCTTGTGGCCCTACCTTTATCGTGACAGGGGCCCTGGGGGCCTCGGCGGGCAGCACCACCGGCGGGCGCAGCGGCGGGTCCGCGGTGCGGTCGCTCAGGGCCTGAAGGTTTGAGGTCCCCGATCCTTTTGTGGAGGCCACGCAGGTCGTGCGTGCTACATGGTTAGCAAACCTTATTGAGAGACAGGTCCAGGTAGTAGACAAGAATTCTACACACCAACACCCACCCGGCCCTTCTCTCCTCTCAAAGACACGTATCAGGTCAAAGGCCTTCTCCCGCACGAGAGCATCGAGGGTGATGGCTCCTGCTAAGCCAGCTCCGATAACGGCCACCGTATTGCAGGGGTAGGCATTGAGTTGGAGGGGGGCACCCACTGAAAAAAAAAAACCGAACCGCAAAAAAGGAGCTCCCATTTCAAAGTCAATTAATACCACCACCAAAAAAAAAAGCAATAATTGTAATTTATATGCAAACTAATGGGCAGTCATTGTGCATTCGCTTTGTATTATTGGCGAAAAAATCCGGGATGCTTTGGGCGTATCATGGTGCTTTGGTATGTTGCAATTGAATTGATTGAGTTTGTTTTGTCTTTTTGCTATAGAGTTTGGGTGGGGAAAAGCATTTTGCGGTTCG